CAATATAAATAGAGTGAAAATGTCTTTTATGTTAGAATGATTTTAAATATAACTTTTAATTCAAGTCAATAAGACGACAAAAAGACTTTACAATATTGTCTGCAGGTATCCAACCTTTGTATTCTGATGATAAAATTTGATTTATGCTATTCATTACTATTAGTTATAATCAATAGTCTAGATTATAGTTATTATGTGATACGTCCATTAAAATAGATCGCAATTCCATTTGATCCGCCGGTGATCAATAGCATTATTAATGAAATTTAGTCCCATTTGATCTCCATTTTTAAAAATCATTTTTACTCAAATAAATTTTTAACCATATATTTCAAAAAAATCACAAGTTTAATAAATTTTTAAAACACACATTTCATCAACTCTTATCAAAATCTATTCAAAAACTGGTTTTTAGCTAAATCAAACAAGCTCTTAGTGATTTTCAGTTGAATTTAATTAACGAATAGCTATTCAAGATGGTCCATGGTCTGGTTATGTCAAATTATGCCAAGACAGTTTGTCTTCATACCCATGTGCACATTGTAGGTGCATTATTAATTGATTATGTTTACTTTTCAATGAGACTGTAGTCCTAGGTTTTTTCCATGACAATGGCTGCTAAATTTGCTCTGCATGTGAATACAAGATGATTCGAAGTAATTGATTTTGTTTGGTTCTTTGCTTTCAGACATATATTCTTCCGTTATGGGCCCTCAAATACCTAAGAAAATTGAAGGAGATGTCTAAACTTATAAGTTACTTAAACTCATTTTGAGGCAACGTTTGTTTTCAAATCTCTTTAGATAATTTCTTATTTAGAAGTGACTAGTAGTAAACACGTTCGTTGCACGTCATATGTGCAGAATGAGTGATATACGTAATATTTTTAATGTAAAACAATTGATAATGTTAAAAGAAAAAATTAAATTGTTAAAGAATATACATATAAATAAAAGTTTTATGAAAATTACGTATATAAAGTGAAAATGTTGAATAAACTGAAATGAAATGTATTGATTTGCTTATGCTAGACTTTGGTTGGATCCCTATTTTCGACTATTACGACAACATCGACCAATTCTGTGATACAGACATCCACGAAGAAAAATCAAATTAAAAGATGTACATTTGATTAAGTTTAAAATGTTTACATATAAATAAACTGAAGATACATAAATAATTTTCAAATTAAAAAATTACTCATTTTGTTTGTACCATAAACTTTTTTACCTAAAAAATAAAAACAAAAAGTATCTTATATAAACATATTTAAAAACAAAAAAAATTACATATTAATCATGCTTGTCATATTAATCCATAGCATTTATTTTAAATTAGAAACCAAAGTTATATTCGAAATAGATATCGTAGTGAAAAATCTTAAACAAAAGTTTTCCTTTTCTTTTGAATAGGATTAATACAAATGGAGGAATAAAAATTTTCCATTTAAATGTATTGAGATAAAAATCATTTTTTTTCCTTTATATATTTATATCTAATAAGTAACAGGATTACTATATGCTTATACAAAAATGAATACGCAACAATAATTACCCAATAATATAATTATTTTTTAGAACACATAATATTAATTTTTGTTAATGTTTAAAAAATTGGATTTAGTGAAAATGTGTATTTGAGATGCAAAGCTTGTATTTAGTGTGTGGATACAAATATGGGAAGTGTAAATAACTCCTGATTATTACGAGTGATTAGTAAGATTTTAAAATTGATGGATAATTTCTCCTGTTATCGACTCTTTCCCTCCTAATTGTTGATCACATTTAAGCAAACTCAATTAAATAACAACCTAATGAATGGATTATAATGTAAATTATGAAGATTAATAAGGGCTTTGTTGATGAAAATAAAAATTGCTTTGTTAATGAAAAATAAAAACTCAATGGATGAATTATAGTGTAAATCATGAAGATTAATAAGGGTTTTGTTGATGGAAAATAAAAATTGTAAGAACAAAATACTCAATTGAATAATGAGTCACTAAATTTTTGTTGATTTTTTATCCTTTTAATAATTGAATGTCAGTTTTACTCCTTATATTAATTCCAGCGCAAATGATAAATATCAATTAAAAATTTCACCACTTATATTAATTATAAATCAAATGATAAATATTAATTAAATTGGTAATAAGGGCTTTGTTGATGAAAATTAAAAATTGTAAAGAAAAAAATCAATTAAATGTTAGTCATTGAATTTCCGTGTGTAATTTTTTTTTTTTTTATTCATTGAGTGCCCTCATTAATATATTAGTGCAACCTTCAGAATATTTGTAACCTCAATTAAATAATAACTTAATAGATGAATTATAATATAAAACATGAATATCTCTGTTGAAGAAAAATAAAAACGCATTGCATGAATTATAATGGAAATCATGAAAATCAATAAGGGTTTTGTTGATGAAAAATAAAAATTGTAAGGACAATATGGTCAATTGAATGGTAAGTCACTGATATCTTTCTTCCACTTTTTTTTTTTTTTTTTTTTTTCACTCTTTATATTAATTCCAATCCAAAATGATAAACATCAATTGAATTGGTATTCCAATTATGAAGGTATAGTGGGCATATAGTTAAATATGTAGGGGTAAATTAGGTATTTAAAAGTTTCTCCACCATCCCCACTTTTAATATATTGTAGATGGTGATAAAAAGGTAAATTTCAAAGTAACCAACCTATTCCATTTAATAAAAATAACGTGTATTTTATTTATTTTCAAAACATTTAGTTGTTAATGATAAAAAAAAAAAAAATTGAACATGTAATTTTATTTAGTTGAGCTCGACTGACCAGCTACTTAAGTTGAGCAATACTGACCAACCAAACTCAAAATACTTATTTTCATAACTCATTTTAACTCTTCAAAGTCGTTCTCTCTTGTATTCATATAATCACAATGCTTTATTTCCTTTCAAAATCGTCTCATTAGTCACAACTGATGAGTAAAAAAATTTCAACTTTAAAATTATAAAAAATATACCAACTGTTGATTAAAGATATGTTTTAAGAGAATTTTATAGGAAAATAATTTTCTACATCCTCTTGTAACTTTTATTTTCAAAACATTGTAACATATCTTAAATGTCACAAAAAAATAATAATTTTAACCACCAAACTTAAATATAAGTAAATTTCATTTTATTACGATTAATTTACTAAAGTTATACTTAAGTTCATATCAATATTCATTCTGCTCGAATTAATTTCTTAAGCCCACATTTTCTATAATAATTTTTTCACGCATGAATCATTTAGTCGTCACTAAATATTAAGTTAATATTAAAGTTGCTCAACAGAAAATACTCAAGCCAGACTCTTTTGCCTTATCAAATAAGGCAGCAATTTCCTAATATGAATAAGTGTCCAATATTTCAATCATTTCAGCTCAATAGAAAATACTCAAGCCAGACTCTTTTGCCTTATTAAATAAGGCAGCAATTTCCTAATATGAGTAAGTGTCCAATACTTCAATCATTTCACTATTTGTCAAATGCTATTACTCATTGATGAATCAAAGATTCTTGAGCTCACAAATAGTGTCCATTATTAGATATATGGTTTAGGTAATGCGTAAGATAGTCTTGTCGAGTTTGATTTTTCGTATGCTTGTAACTATAGAGCTAAAATCAACATAATAGTCATGTGCACTGCACTTCTACAGAGTTCCAATCAATACGATTAGAATAAACTGCTCAACACGACCGGTGTAGTTCAACCTACAACAATATTGGAATAGAGTGCCTACCTACGTTCAACGGTCTTGGACTAAATAATTTTCGATTGAGATATAACTTGTATTTATCTTTCCTTCTCCACGTAAGTACTTAATCGATGAACCTTCATTGCATGCTCAATTAAATAATTATATGTATTATTCAAATACATAAAACAACAATGTATTATTTATTTAAAGACAAATAAGTTGCTAAGCACTACAATAAAAGACATATTACTTTCTAACACATCCCAATAAATACAACATAATTAAGGCATATGTGTTAAGATTTGTGGTCCATCTTAATAAGGTCAACCGTATTAAGAGGAGTGACCCAAGATCTATTTAAATTGGTCAATATTTCGGTGTTTAACCGATATGAGATTTATTCCTTTAACATGCCCCGCAAGATGGTGGCTCTTTTTGAGTAGACCAATCTTGAAATCCATGTGCTCATTTTTGAGACTTAATCGGATCGAATAGCTCGTTGGACCTTACTGGACTCTGATACCATGTTAAGATTTGAGGTCCATTTTAATAAGGTCAACTTTATTAAGAGGAGTGACCCAAGATCTATTTAAGTTGGCCAATATTTCGGTATTTAACCGATGTGAGATTTATTCCCTTAACATGCCCTCACAAGATGGTGACTCTTTTTGAGCAGACTAATCTTGAAATTCGTGTGCTCATTTTTTAGATTTAATCGGATCGAATAGCTCGTTGGAATTTATTGGGCTCTGATACCATGTTAAGACTAGGGGTCCATCTAAATAAGGTCAACCTTATTAAGAGGAGTGACCCAAGATCTATTTAAATTGGTCAATATTTCAGTATTTAACCGATGTAAGATTTATTCCCTTAACATGCACCTACAAGATGGTGGCTCTTTTTTAGCAGACCAATCTTGAAATCTATGTGCTCATTTTTGAGATTTAATCGGATCAAATAGCTCGTTGGAGCTTACTGGGCTCTGATACAATGTTAAGATTTGAAATCCATCTTAATAAGGTTAACCTTATTAATAGGAGTGACCCAAAATCTATTTAAGTTGGCCAATATTTCGGTATTTAACTGATGTGGGATTTATTCCCTTAACAATATGTAGATAAAGTTAATTTGCTTATTCACATTTGCCACATCATTTTTTGTGTTTAATAAGATCATTTCCAATGATTAGTGGATTGCCACCAAAAAAAAAGAAAAAAAAAATAATAATAATAAATAAATAAATAAATAAAAACCTCCAAAATGCAATCTGACTCTAATCAGTTGCAAAACTGAAGAAAATTTTCAGCGCATAAACTGGGATTTTTATCTTAGACGGCTTTCTGAAAAAAAAAAAAAAAAAAAAAAAAAAAAAAAAAAAATTTTCCATTCTAAATTCAAATGAAATCCTTAATTTTACAAATTTAAACTATAAATATATTACACATTGGAGGATTATAGGGTAAAATTTTGTATGCAAATTTAATCGATATATGCATAAGTATCATTTTCAAAGTCGAATCTATTTGTTCTCAAATACCTTCTGGCAGCCCTTGGAAAACCATCCATAACTTTTGTTTTAGACAATAAAAATTCATGATGCCAAAATTCGAGAGATAGGTAACCCTAATGACTACCTTCTCCAAATGAAATAACTTCAAAATTCCAAGTATTTGGTCAGGTGAATTTTTTAACTTAGGGGCAAAAACTGAAAATATTTGAACACTAGTCTTGCAACTCAAATGAATTAAATAAACCACAATAAAATATCCTATTCACCTTGAATCAAATTCCATCAAACAATTCCGTCTTAAAATTTTCAAAAACACTAAATTAAAAATTTTCAAAAATTTAAATAATTATCTAAACAAAACATGACTTAAATGATGATTTTTGGAGTTCACATGAAAGCACCACCATTCTGGTCCACATCATCATCGATCGCATTAATGTGAAACTTTTAGGGATTGTATATTTCATAGAAACACTCAATAAAATTATACGCACGTTAAATTTAAACATCCCTATCCCTAGCAAAACAACTATACCCATGTACCTTGACTCTCTCTACGCATTACCGCCACCTACTCCTTGCATACACTTGAATCCTTTCCAATCGAGATTAGGCTAACACCCAAACCCTAATGGCAATCCAACTGCTGCAATGCACCACCGCCATCATGTTAAGGAATATAATTTCATATCGAATAAAGATGAAACATAGACTAACTTATAAGGTCTTGAGCTACTCCTATTAAAAAAGTTAACCATTTAAGATGGAACTCCAAATTTTAACAAGGTATC